TAAACTCGACATTTATCAAGCAGTAGCTGAAACCGAGTGTGTTATTTATCTTTTATTTTTTTAAATATCAGTTTTTCACACTTCATAATAAGCTTCTGAATTAAAAATAAAATAAGACATATGTAAAAATTATCATGTTTTGGGTACGATTTATTTTTTGTTAACTGATATTATAATATAAGATCAACAAAACATTTATGCATTTGTAAAATATTTATTCGTGGAATAAAACAAATTTAAACATCATTTATTTGTACAAATATTTGTGAATTAAGACCTAAGATAAAACTATCGTCGAAAATAAATTTCCGATGTCATTAAAGAGCTGAAATTTTTATTATATAAAAAACTAGCTCTTGTTGTTCATTTACGTCGCACTAGAGCTGCACAATGGGCTGTTGGCGACGGTCTGGGAAACATCCCTGAGGATGATCCGAAGACATGCCATCACAATTTTGATCNCATAATTTTTTTTTATTTTTTTACTCCTTATTTCTTAACAAAGGTGAAGCTTAAAGAATTTATAGATTATGCGCTGTAAATTTATGCTTTATGAAATTAAAACAAACAATAATGAAACTTGTCAAATGGCAGTTGAAGGAAACAGTTGAATGAAACATTAAAGCCTGTCTGATTGCGGAAAAACACTGAATTTGAAAGACGTTTATTAGAAGGACCTTCATATTTCAAACAGAAATCAAACAGGTTTTGATGTAAATGTACGTACACACGCTTTTTTCAAAAATATAATTTGACAGATTTCGATAACGCTTTTAACGATACGCGGTTTTAACACGTTAACGAAAATAATATGTAGAATAATTTTTACGTTTCAAATTATATAATTTTCAACAACAAAAATCGGTAGAATAGCTTTTGAATAATAAGATTTTGAAAAGATATCTTGTTTAATTTTTCCCTTCTGACTAACTATTTGTTCGATGTTACTTAAATTTTGTATGTTATAGATGTTTTATTAGCCTTAAAATTCAAAATTTTAGACTACAAAATAAAAAAATTTGTTTGAAATTATTTTCGGTTAAAGGAGTTCCATAAGTGGTTGAGTCATTTTTGAATTGATCGACCGATCATTAGTTAATTAAAAAAAAAAAAATCAGACCATAAACAAAAATGTATATTTCGTTAGTTCTAACACTAAAAACAAATCATTATTTCACTATAATAAAATACTTTTTAACAGTTAATATTTGTTACTGTAAATTCATAGCATCATTGAAGGCAACTAACATGCAATATATATTAGTTAATATAAGTGTATACACGTTAGTGTTTTCGAAAGCGAAAGTACATATTTAACGTAAAGTTTGAATAAAGGCGAGATTGTTGTAAGCTCTTACCATTATAAAAAATTCAGTTTTATAGACATTGAGATTATTAGATCCTATAAATTTCTTATGAAAGCTCTATTTGGTATTAACGTGAAAAAAAAATTGTTCCTTCACACGATTGTTTGGGCGATAGTATAGTTTTGATAGATAATTTTGAGCGATAGTATAGTTTTTACTGTGTACGCGGATTTCTTTTATAATATTTTGTGTTCTCTACCGAAACAAGTAGGGCGATTCGCGAGGAAATCCTACTTGAAATAACTCAGGATACAGAGGATAAAAGCGAGAAGCATATAATTCCTCTTCATCAACTGAACTGTGTGACCCAACGGACCTTGTAGCCTAGAGATAGCGGGTTCAAGTCTCACCTTCAACTTGGTGTCTCTGTGGTGTCCTAATGTGTGCTATTGTTCTTAAAATTTGACAAATGACTTGTAAGCCATTTCTGTTATGAGCGATATCTTAATAATATTTTATTTGTCATTTTTGAACGTATCAAATACTCAAAATACTTACCAAACAAATGTAGTCGGATTTAAAAACGCCATGTACTCACTATCGAGTATAGTGATACGTTCAAAATTCATACATTATACACTCATCAAAATTAATACATTGTATCATCATTGTATAGTATAAAAGTTTTTATATCATTTCAAACTAAGTAATTTCAGAATGCAAAATTCACAATTTGGAACAAAATTATGCGAACATTTTTCAGAAAATTAAAATTGAAAATTAAGGATCTTTTTAAATTTTCTCTATCTCAATTCGACTATTTGAACATTATTCGAACCCACTATCTTTTGAATACTTTTTTTAAAAACTCCCTTTTTTTTCAATATTTGAATCCATTATCGTAACTCTAACCGGATATCATTTAAAAAGTTTCCAAGCCTATCCTTTTATTGGTACTTGAATTTGCTATCTTTTAATCAGTACTCAAACTCACTTTTTTTTTAATCGGTTCTCGAATCCACAAATTTTTTTTATCGGTTCTGGAACTTGCCATTATTTGTTCAATAATGGATTCTACTATCTTCATATTTGTCCAATACTGGATTATTACTTGTATCCTCTCTCTTTTATCCGTACCTCGGAGGAAGTGACCTTACCTTGGAGGCCAAGGGACGCAACATCAAGAGGATGCTGTTGTTGTTGTAGTTCATTTACGTCGCACTAGAGCTGCACAATGGGCTATTGGTGACGGTCTGGGAAACATCCCTGAGGATGATCCGAAGAGATGCCATCACAATTTTGATCCTCTGCACAGGGGATAGCACCCACGCTTCGGTAGCCCGACGACCTACACGCGAAGTCGAGCACTTTACGGTAGAACAGTTTAACGAGGATCAATACCTCACACCCTCGGTCCCTACGCAGACTGATCCAAGTGGTCACCTACCCGCACACTGGCAGCAACCAGTGATGCTTGACTTCGGTGATCTGCTGGGAACCGTGTCTTAATGATCAGTCAACCGATGGACGGCATCGGTTAGTGAGAGGGTGGGTGACAACTTTGATCAGCCTGTGGAGGGACCGAGGGTGTGCCGTATCGGTCCTCGTTGAACAGCTGTACCGTTCAGTGCTCGACTGCAACAAGTTAAAAAATATTTTTCCAAGCTTGGGGATTATTTAATTATTTTGTTAACAATCCCAGTAGCGTTCTTTCATCAAAATAGAAGCTATAAAAACCTATTTAAGATGTACACAAAAGGGTTCCTTAGTAATAATTTCTATCGAAAATGAAACAGCAGAAACAATTGGCTTTGAAGGATCTATTAGCGTCTGCTAAAGCACAAAAAAAAAATTTTTTTTTAATGCTCATGCTTATATATTTCTATGCCATAAAAGACTACATTCATTAAAAATATTACTTTTAATAGATATTTATATTAGAATACTAGAACTTATGACTTTCTTCTTTTAACCTTGAAATCGTTAATTGTTATTTGTTTTCACCATGTGGTTTCTTAAATCACCGTTCTGGGTTGATTTAGAATTTTATAACTTTTTGGTAGTAATATTGTTTTTTAAAGCATAAAAAGCAATTTTATACATCATTATGACTACACCAGAGAGGTAATTTAAAGGATCTTTTTTAAAGATTACTTTTCCAAAATTATGTTAAGGGAGCCGTTTTTAGTATCGTCCGGGTCTTGGAAAGGTCTTCCACCGGCACTGCTAGTAAGCATAATGCGTTAAAACACTGATACAAAGTGAAGAAATAAATTAATAATAACATAGTTGTGCAACCATTTTTTTAAATTTTATTAATTAGTTTTTTTATTTTTGTTTAGCTTGAAAAATACATGGTATTGAATAAATAATAAAGTTTATTTGTCATGCACGGCAAACAAAAGGAAAAGAAAACTGGTAAAGCTTCTAAAAGAACAATCGAAAAAGCTCATTGCTTTACCTTTTGCTTATAATTTTTTTGAAAAAATAAATTACTTCGGTTAGAGAATCTGCACAAAAGATTTCAGTTCTAAGAAGATTAAATTGGAAAAGGAAAACAGTGAATTTTCGAATATACTTTTGGAAACTTTAGAATCAGTTTTTTGTAAAACTTTTGTGGGTCATTTTAGCTGGATGTCAGTTTAGCTGGATATTAGTTTAGAGATTTTTTCTTCTTTTTTATTTGCAAAATTGTTTGGTATTAAATATAAAAAAAAAAACTAATAATTTGAACAAATGTTGTTCCAAGAGCTGGTAATTTAAAATGATTTGCCAGTCTTGCAATGCTAAAAAATTAAAGAAATATACATTTGATTAATAGTTTATAGATTGGGGAATTTTAATCAAAGAAATATAAAATAGTTGTTTAAAATTTTGAAATTTGTTTTATTCTTCAATAATTTAGCAACATAATATGATATTCATCAATAATTAATTTCGTTTCAATGCACTCTTTTTGTAAAATTATAGTTTATTTTAAAATTAATGGTAAATCATTAATTATCGCTTTCATTATAAACAGATGGTTTATGAGATCATTGATATTTCTCTGTCAGTTACTCATCCGTTTACGTGGGCCTTGAATGCGACGAGTTTATTTTTCTTCCAGTAATAATTTGGTGAGTAGATACCATACATGGTTAAAGGACTTGTGTTCCAATTTCACCATTTTTCTTCAGTTTTTTTTTCACCTACACTGCGTCTCATTTCATGTCATAAAATAGCCAGTGGGCGAGCCAATCATGTTGCCAGGTGAAACCGGTGCTGAATGGTCATTGAATTCTTCCGCAGATTTTCTTCTTGGTTCTCGTTGCGCATGCGCAATTTTGGAAGCCAACTGAAGGAATAACTCGTGAATCGAAAATGATTTAAATTTGCGTGAAAACTGCACAGAAAATATTATTTTTTTAGATACAAAATGTTATTAAAATAATAATAGAACGAGAATTCATGCATTTATAATTGTAAAAAGCCAAAGTTATTAAGAAAATACAGGAACCTAAACCACTCCCTTACTTGAAAATACACTTTTTCTCATTGCAATAAATTATTTTCAAAATATTGGGACTTAAAAACAAAACATATTAATTTTTTGCATTTAAATAACCAAAATATTATTTATAATCTAACTTCTCTCATTATTTAAATATCGCTCAGTATTAAACACTGAGTTGGCTGGCAGATTGATCCAACTCCACCCTTATCTGACGTAATCAAGGCTCTTAAAGGCGCGTCCTGAAAACCCGCGTCAGTTCTCCATTCTGATAATTTCAGTCTGACAAGACGTTTAATTTGAAATTTAAAGAAAACTCTATTTCAAATCAACTATGCGTGAAATAGTACATATTCAAGCTGGCCAATGTGGTAACCAAATCGGTGCCAAGGTATAAATATTATATTTTATTCTGTTGACTTGTCTAAATTTTTTGAAATATAAATGGCAGACATTCTTATTAAATCGATAGCCGCTGGCGTTCTAAGAATTGAAGATTCCCTTTTAGTCTTAGCTAATTTTATTCGATATTTCTATAAAAATACTTATGCTAAGCTTTAAACTTTTAACAATACGCGTTTTTGTTAATGATATTTTATAAATATTACTGTTTTCTACGACCGTTTCGTTCCATGTGGTGAATTAATTGACCGGCACTTAAATTATACGTTTTCGATTTGATGATAATCTCAGTGATTCGCAGTGGCCAAAGGAAAATGTATTCTGAAACTCAAACATAAATTAAAATATCTATTTTATATTTATGTCTTGCAGCATATTTTTAGTCTTGAAAATTAGTCCTCGTAAAATCTTAACTAATAAGCATTGTTTAAAAAATGGCATATCTTAATATGCCATTTTTTAAAGTTTAGAAACAAATTAAGTCTTCATTTCGAAAATCGCGGATTCTTACCCCTTTCCGAATGAAATAAATTCTTTAATCTAGTTTTGAATCAAGTGAATAATTTGAAAATTATTCATTAAATTTAGTTTATTAGTGATTTTTTTTTCTCTTCTGGCAGGTTAATTTTTTTAAAACTTCCAAGTATTGTAAATCAAATCCTTTAGTTACAGAAGTATATGGAATAGAAACTTGCAAATAGCATATCTGAAGGAAATTTATATTTTATAGCAAGCATTATTTCTGAATCGATAGTTTAGTTTATTACTAAAAATTGTGTTCTGGTGAACAAATTTCTTTTTAAAGCAGTGTGTTTAGTTTTAATTCAAAAATGGATTTTAAATTCCATATAAGTTTTAATTGTAGTTGAAAATTAAGTTTTATTTATTTTTTCAGATTTTACTTTTATGCATAATTTAATAACAGTTCAGCTATGTTTCTAATAGGTAAAGTTAACAAGTTCTGCTATGCTCTAATAGGTAATTTTAATAATTAAAAAATTTAAATAAGAATATTTTTTCAAAATTTTTAATTTCTGAATAGAAAAGAGCAATTTATATTACGATTTTGAACTCTTTCATTGTATTATTAATGCCATATTGTGTATTTTATTAATATTTCTAGTTTTGGGAAGTTATTTCTGATGAGCATGGCATTGACCCTACTGGTACATATCATGGAGATTCTGATCTTCAATTAGAAAGGATCAATGTATACTACAATGAAGCATCAGGTATGTCTTTAACTTTATATGTGCAGAAATAATGTGAGCACTTTTTCTCTTATTAGAGAATATCTGAACTGAAGCTCATTTATTTGCTTTGTTTATGGTGTAATAAGAGATAGAACATCAGATAAGCAATTAAAAAAATTCCAAGTTAAATTCCAGATTTTTTTAAATTGCTGTCATAATTTTACTATTTGAATAATTTTAAACTGTTAAAAATATGGTACATCTAAAACTGATAAGAGATCATCTTTCTTTTCAATTGATATAACTTAACTGTCTCACAACATGGTTTAAAATTCTGTTTTTCTTGATTAAGGGTTTAAAGTTCTACTGATTTTTCTTGATTAAGGGTTTAAAGTTCTACTGATTTTTCTTGATTAAAAATATTCTATCTTTATTTGCCTTTATTTTTAGCATACTGTCTTTATATATATATACATTTTTTGTTTGTACATAACCAGGGTTTGCCAAAGGGGCCCCGCCCTAAAACCAGAAAGTTTATTGATAATTCAAGTTTTGTTCCAAACAATTTAAGATTAATTAACTTAATGAATTAGGTTTAATTATTATATAATATAGCTAAATTAACTTGATATATAAATCAAAATGCATTTAACTGGTTTGGAATGTGCCTCTAATTTGAATGGAAAAGTTAAGTATCTGTTCTTATGATTGATGTAGGTATGTGTGTCCAATCATTCTTGAGGTTCAAAAAACCTTAATATTTTTTTAGATTATGAAATCATTACTAAAAAGATTTCATTAAATTTTAATTTTAGAAAAGATAAATTTTGCATGTTTTGAACATATATTCTGTTAGTATTGATTTTTTAAGAATAATTTATATCAAGAACAAATCATCAGATTTTAAGAAAATATTGATTTTTGTTTAGAAAACTGAGTTATATAATATCTAACTTAAGTTTATATATTAAACCATAGCTTGTGCTCCGGAAAAATCCGGAATTTTCACTGTGATCTGGAAGTTTCCGGAAATCCTAGGTCCAGAAGTTTCAAGAAATAGAACTAGAATTTATACTTGGCATTTCTTTCATTTGTAAATATTTTTTCTGGTAGAATAATAAATGTGATTAGAGATAAATATAACTTATACATATTAATTAATTTAAATTATGCTGCATGTAATTTATTTAGAATTTCATGTTTTGAAAATATCAATGACTTAAATTTATAAAGACATAAATTTTTTTTAATGCATCATAAATGATTTTACTCAGGGAATTTTCAGTATTTTTGAGTTAGGCTCACGATCGCCCCTGTTAAATTAAAAAATTCATATTTTAATCAAATCCATAAAATTAATTTGCAAATTCTTGAGTGCATTGATATTGAGCTAGGTTTCAGAAATTTTTTCTAGTTCTACAGTTACTCAAAAAATTAGATTCATATTTTTTTTTTGTATTAAGTTTAAAAGAAATTCTGATAGAAAAATACATTATGAAGTTTATTTCAATATAATAAGTAATTTTTAAAATATTTACATGTAGTAATTTATGTTTTCTTAATATTCTCTACTATTATGGCTTGATTTCTATTCTAAATTAGAAGCATAAAAGTTTTAAACTATTAAATTACATTAAGGTTGAGAAAGTTTTTGACAATTGGCTGATTTTCAATACTCATGTAACATAGATTAACGTTAATTAAAATAATGTGAATAAAATCAACTGGAATATATATATTTTTTTCTTTTAATGCAAAATGTAAGTTTTTTTTTTTTTNTTAGTTAAAATAATGTGAATAAAATCAACTGGAAAATATATATATATATATATATTTCTTTTAATGTAAAATGTAAGTTTTTTTTTGTAAGAATGAATGAAGTTATGTTGTGATCACAAGCTTTTCTGAAAGATTACTGCTATGCTGAAGATAATTCCCTGCATTAAATTTAGGTTAGAATAAATACATAAAATAATGAATAACTTAAGCTTTTATACATTTTTGAAATTTAAAGCTTTTCTTTATAAAAATCAAATGGATTTAAGATTTTTTTCACCTAACATAGAAATAAATTAAAAAAATATAAGATTAACATGGTTAAGAAAAATTAATTAAAATTATTTTCTACTTATGCATAATTTTTAATAAGTTTATATCAGGCATCCATAATTCATGCTACAGTGATTTCATCGCAGAAAAAAAATGGGTGAGAATTTCTCACCCTTTCTCAAAAACAGGGTGAGATTTCAAAAAATTAAAAAAAAGAAGAAAAAAACACAGAGACTTGAAAAAAAATCACTATGAAAAAAAAATCTTTTATTATGATACTTTTTTAACATCTTCTAATTTTTAAAGCATTTAATATTTTTGTTGCATCATCATATGGAAAATGTTCTACATCTACTTTTTCAACAGCTGTTCTCATTAGGTTGATCAAATGCGTGTTTGTTTCGTTCTGATCGTTTCTACCCACATTTGTTTCATTTTCATTTGTCCGTTTCGGAGAAGATCTTGCCTTTTCAAGGTATTTGTCCATCTTACATTAATGCGCAAAAAATTTGAATTTCTTACATGGAGAAACCTTACCTACGGTAAACATGTGGTTGCAGAGAAATGCGTTCTGAAAGAGGTTCCGTGGTTCGGAGGGATGATATTCTGTTGTTCTTAAAGGTTCTGAACAATACTGGTAAATAGGGAAGCTAGATAATGGGGCAGATGTTGAAAATAATGAAAGATCCAGGAAGAAAAGTGAAACGCATTTTATTCTAAATGGCGCAATGAGAAATTTTTTTCAAAATGCGAGAAATTCGCGAATTTTGAAATTGGTTTATAGAATGCACGAATTTCTTGCGATAATAATTTTTTTAATGCGAGAAAAGAAAAAAATATGCGAGATTCTCGCGCTGTAGTGAAAACACTGATGCTAGCACCTTTTTACTGAACTGAAAACTTATACTATTCAGAACTAAAAAAATTTGTCAACTATTTAATGTTTCAATATTAAGCCCACGTTTTCATTAAGATACACTGGGGCACGATTTGTTATACATATCTTTGTTCTTGCATAGTTATTTACCATCTAAAATAATTGAATTCAATTATGCAAATTCAAACGTAATGGCTGTCACAGCAATTGTATACAAAATGGCAGATGTGTGCAGCAGTAACGTCAATTCAATAATGACAATAATGAGATTCGGTGTTTCAGACTACCACAAACGTTTTTTTAAGTTTAAAATAAGTTTTTTTTTGCTTAAAAATAAATAAATTAGAGCTTTTAGAAAAGTAATGAAATATTTTCTGGGAGTTTTGTTTGAGGTATTCTGGATGCATTAAGATTTTAAAATAACCGACTGTAATTGTCCATTATAAATAAAAATGTATAAAATCAAAAATTATCAAATATGTTAATTTGTTATTCTAAATAGGAATACAAAAACAATTACCATTAAAAAAAAAAGCACTCAACAATCATCTTATTAAATATTATATAAAATCAATTTTTATTTGCTTCCATTTGGATGCCCTATGTACTTGAAGTTTATTTTTCAATTTTCTATGAATAAGAATGTAATTGGAAAATATTCTTTAGATTGATGCTGAGCTGGATTTGGATTTCTGACCCTCAAAATAGGAGGTACAGTAGGGAACCGATTATCCGGAACGATCGGGACCATCGATATTCCGGATAACTGATTTTTCCGGTTTTCTGAATCGCTACAAAAAGCAGTTTTTTTTATAGTTAAACCCAACTTTAAAAAAAAAAAAAAGGAAATAATCTTAAAAAGAAAAAAAATGAAGTAATACACTAATGATTATTTCCAAAATGATGGTAAGGTAAACATCTTTCAAAAAAGAGCGAAAAATCCTGAAATCTTTAGAGGAAAAATTTTTTTAAAAAAATGACAGGAAAACTAATCGAATTTCGTTCCGGTTTTTTGGTTTTCCGGTTTTCTGATTTCCGGATAACGGTTTCTGTACTGTATATAAATATGAGTCCTAAAATAAAATTTTGAAATCTCATCATTTTGAATTTTTGTAAACAATGTGCTTTTATGAATCTTGAATACTTTAGCAATTAGTTTTATTATTCTATCCCTGCTTTAAATTATTTCCACTATGAGCATATAACATTCACTGGCTAGGAGCAGCAGCCATTCTTTCTAAATAACAGCTAGAGAGAGAGCTAAAAACTAAATGCAAATAGAGCCATGTTATTTAACCTAAAACTTCTTCTTCCTTATCCCCAAAGTTAGCAGGGCTAAACAATATCCATGAAACTCATGACCCGGAGGAAGTCTACCACTAAACCGCCTTAAAACTACCAAAAAAAAATTTGAATGCTATTTTCAAAATCAAATGGGATTGAATATTTTTAACCTTATGAAAAGGAATTTTGAAGTTACAATTTTAAAAGAACTCGGATTTCTAAATGACTTAAAATTTTCACAATTCAGGTTTTGAATTGGTGGCCCTGTCACTTTCATTATTCATAGAGAATTAAGTTTATTGGTGAAATAGTGCTTTGAATAGTCCTTGACTTTAGTTGTGGATTGACTTGTTGTCAATGGGTAAATGTTAATTTTGAAAGCTCCTAAATATCTGACACGTTTTAGGAGTGATTTTTCGCTCAATTAAAAAATGAAACAAAATTTTGACTTCTATGTCTGTAAGAACTGTTAAGTTAGAACTGGGGTTTCCAACTTACATGAGGCCTGGGGCAGCAATTAAAAACACAAATCAAATGGCGGGCCGCAACTTTATCAAAATTTTATGTAGGAATCTATGTTTGAAGGAACATTAAATATTACGATCATATTTTACCAAGTTGTACAAAACAAAACCAAAAGTTTTAAATTACAAATTAAAATAAGAAATAGATTTTTTAAAAATATATAATTATTTATTAAAAAATTTGGGCTACAATAACTTTAATGTACACCCGTGTATTAAACAATTAATGTGCAACAGATAATTAATTTTTAAGATATAAAACTTTAAAAAGGTTGGTAATAAAACATACATAGTAGCACACAAAATGTTCAATGTCAAAATTGAGGTTAGTCTGCTGCAACCACCAGAGAATAGATATTTACATTTTAAATTTAAAATTTTCAGTGTAAATATTTTCGCAAAATGAGTAGCTTTAAAAAGTTAAATCAGAGAATTTCTTCGAGAAAATTTCTGATACACACATGCTAAATTATATTCACAAAATACAAAAAAAAACAAAATAATTTTCTTGGATGTAAAACCTGAGAATTTTTTTTGCGCCGTTGGTATGATCAATTTCCCAGAAACGAAGAAATTGAGTTTTTATTAATGAGAAAAGTATTTTAAACCCATCTAGATTTTTTACGGAAATTGTCCGCAAAAAAATGACAACTAATATATTTTGGTTCGCGGACCACAAAAAAAGACTTCGTAGGCCAGATGCGGCCCCCGGGCCGCTAGTTGGAAACCACTGAGTTAAAACTTCAGAACTTTATATGGGCCTTAAAATAACATTGTCTATGGAACAATGGGAACAAAAGGGTAATGGTTATATTAGAAATGTAAGTGCTATAAAAGGGTCAGACTAAAAAGCATAGTCTAATCTAGCAATCTAAAACTTCAACAAAAAATGGTTACATTACATTGACCCACTGACGGTTCTGCACCTAAAAAGTCGTAATTTAACCTGCAGTCTTCTCCACATAGCGAAACCGGTTTTCCCATCTTATTAGATAGGGAAATAGTGTATAGGGGAGAAACATTCTCCTAATTTTGCCCATTTGCTAAACCATCAGTGGGTTAAACCAAATCAGTAAATAGTTACCGAACATTTAATTTTAATGTTAAGTGTCAAAAGCAAATTCAGGAATCTTAATCATTTAAAATTTTTTTTAATTACTTTTAAGCCCAGGTTTTTCATTGAAACTTAATAAATCTCCTGGTTTTGTTGTAAAGCAATGATGGGCTAGGCTTACTTAAAAAAATAAATAAAATAATTTTTTTTAGATCCTGTTCAGATAGACCTTGTTCATTTTTATAAGCTTGCAATTTTTAAAATAGATTTTTTTCCTTTCAATGTAAAAGAAATTAGAACCTGACCTATTGATGCCAAAACCAGTTACAGTAGAACCCCGATTATCCGAGTTAATGTGGACCAAGACTAACTCGGATAACCGAAAAACTCGGTAAAAGCGAAAAATGTAAATTAAGATAAGTCGTGTAGGTTTAAATGTATATGCTAACAAATACAAAGGTTAAACAGATACACCACATGCAGTTTATATTTTAACGATAATTAAAGAGTTCTCACTTAAAAAAGTCCTTAATTGTTTTTTGTATAACTTTACTTTGGCGTTTTTCTGCAGCAATGTTTCGCCATTTTTTTAAAGATAACAGGATTGCTGTTGTTGCTTCTTGTTGTTCTATGTATTCAATAGCACTTGTGATAGCTTTTAATCCATCTGTGTGTGAAATTTTCATACATTGATTTTCATCCTCATTCCTGAGTGTTTGTGAGATCAAGTTCAGAATTTTTTTCGGTANGGGGACATACCAGATATTAGAGTGCCAGTGCAAAAAAAAAAAAAAAAAAAATCATAGATATTTGACAGCTCGGTTAAAGCGGAGACTCAGATAACCGGGGTTTTACTGTATTTTTAATTTTATTCAAAAAAGGAAATTGAGAACTTTTTATTTATTAAGTGTAAAAAGCTAAACCTCTTCGTCTTCCCCCTTTTTTTTCTAATGCTAGATCTATTTTGGAACAAGAATTTTCTTATAAAATCCACCAATCATACCTTATTTTTTTCATTTTACCTCTTTTCATCACTAGCCAATTAGACAACTGATTTCCAGATTGTTTTGTAAAAGAGTGGCTTAAATGCTTACTTCAGAAGTCTTAAAAAATTTAGTTTAATATTTTTCTCTAAATGGCAAGAAAACTACCAATTTTTGGGAATTTAAGTTCTGTGATCATTATTAAGAATAGTCTAAATGAAATCTTTTTCTTTTAAATGTTTTTAATTCATTAAAAACAATTGAAATTCTGTATTTTATTTTTATTATTTTGAGATTATATTTCTCATGCATTTCAACAATACTGAAATGGTATATGAGTAAAACAGCAGGCAAAGATAAGCAAAACTGATTCTGAATTTAATGTAGTAGATGGTAATAAATTAAAGATAAATGAATGTTCCAATATAGTAAAATATAATTGTGTAGTAATATTTTTTCAACTTGCAGTTTTTAAGAGGTGTATAAAATAACACAAATTTTGATATTAACTTACCACAAAGTTTACTGATAATTGATATATTATGGTAAAATTATCGTAATGTTAAAAAATTCTAAGTTTTCTGTAAAAAACATCAAAATAGTCCTTGTTATATTTAATAAAAATTACTTTTACTGCCTCAAGCAGAACATATTAGTGAGAATTAAATTGTATGATTTTTAGATGTAAATTTAATGAAGTTTTAGACAATTACAGTAGGCAACCGATTATCCGGAACAATCGGGACCATCGCTATTCCGGATAACTGATTTTTCCGGTTTTCTGAATCTACAAAATGCCATTTTTTTTTTAATATTGTTAAACCCAACTAAAAAGAAATATTTGTAAATCTTAAAAAGAAGAAAAAACGATGGAAGTAATACACTAATGATTATTTCCAAAATGATGGTAAGGTAAAAATCTTTCAAAAAAGAAAATCCTAAAATCTTATTAGGAAAAAAAAAATTTTTTTTTTTTAAATGGTGCGAAAATTTATCGCATTTTGTTCTGCTTTTCTGATTTCCGGAAACTGGTTCTGTACTGTACAATTTAAATATCTTTGTATTAAAAAGAGAAAAGGACCTTCAGGGTTCCCACGGTCCTTGAGAGTCCTTGAAAGTCCTTGAATTTTTTGTTGCTAAATTTAGGTCCTTGAAAGTGCTTGAAAAACGTCTTAGGTCCTTGAAAAACTTGATAGGTCCTTGAATTTGTCCAATACTGCCGGCGACCCTTTTTATAAAACACCCACGGATCATTCTCGTTCTTTCTGTTTTGTTCCCGAGCTCTCTCACGTGGTTTTTAATACCACCGTTTCTAACCGGGCTTAGCGTCTTGGTGTCTGCCAAGCGCGCAGAGCACAGCAGACAATCAATGCGTTCGGGGTGAGACTCCACTTCATCTTTCGCATATGCTTAGATCTTTTTTCTTATCGAAACTGGAATACTCTCGAATTTCGTAACAATATGTACCTTTTAGTTTTCAATAAATTTGCCGTTTTACCATCAGCACTTGTCCTTATGTTTGCGTCATTTCAAAACTTTATTGTAAAGCGTATTCGCAAAGGCACGGCTTCGTATTTGTGTTATGTAGTTTAGACTAGTTATGCCTGGGAAGTGCTATTTTAATCCCCAATGGATGGATAATCATGCTTATAAAGAATAGATTTTATCGATGCCGGAAAAGAAGTTCTGAGCCAAGTGCCGATTATGCATGAAGGAGATCGATATCGCGAAAATGGAAGAATCTGCTCTGAAATCACACATGAAAGAAAGGTAAAACAAAAGAGCAGTCTCATGCCCTGAGTTCTCTTTTTCCAAAGACATCAACATCTAATTCAAATGGTGTAAATACTCCTTCAACATTGTGTGCCCCATGTGAAACAGAAACTTTAGTGGCCGAGGTAACATTGTCTTCTTATCTGGTCAAAGGAATGTGCTTGATGCTGAAATTCTCTGGAATCTGAAGTGCATCACTAGTAATTATTCATGTAACTCCTGTGATAGGATTAGTAAATTGTTCTCCAAAATGTTTGCTGATAGCTGTATAGCGAGAAAATTTTTTTGTAGTGCCACAAAGTGAGCCTATTTGGGCTCCTTTGGATAGGCACTATACTTCAAAGGGATTCTTATAAATGAGCTGAAGAATGTTGATTGCTACACTGTACTCTTTGATGAGACGTTAAATCAGTCTCTACAATCTAAGCAGATGGACATTATGGTAAGGAATTGATAATAAAGTTTGCACTAAGTATCTTACCTCCCAATTTATGGGTCATGGAACTGCAGAAAATATTTTGTCCTCTTTTTACAAATGCATGGATGATGGTTAAAAGCTCTCTAAAATACTTCAATTATCCATGGATGGACCCTATGTCAATTGGAAATTCTATTAGAAGCTTCAGTGTGAATTAAAAGAGAAATATTCCCACCAGGTCATATTCATTGGCAGTTGTGGATTACACATAACGAATAATGCTTTTAAACATGGTGAAAATGGGATATGTTCCTTCTAATTTTTATTTTCAGAAAGAATTGTTGCTGCATAACATTTAGAGAAGGTTGTGTAAATTATGGATGAATAATTTCAGAAACGATGTTTAATAGAGGAGAGGAGGGGGTTATGGAATAGTCATGGAATATGGAATACCTAAGATTTAGCTCTGTCTTTCATGCAGCCTTCACATGGAAATACACAGGATTAAAGGATTTCACCATTAACACCTCATTACCATTAGTTATAGATTGTGCTGAAAATGATTTTGTGAATTAATATGTAAAACCAGTAGGGTTGTTTTTAAAAAAATATAAATTTTAGTCCATAATACATATACTCTCTTCTCTCTATATAGGCAAAGCATTTAGGTATTATATTTGAAATTAATTATTGCCACAACAAGCATTGTTGCTTCTAGTAAAATAGAAGAGAATAATTTTTAAAATTGGTCTTAGATTAAGGTCCTTGAAAATTTTGTTGAGGTCCTTGAAAAGTCCTGGAAAGTCCTTGAATTTCAATCTCATTATAGAGTGGGAACCCTGACCTTTATTTTGGAAGTTATAAAAATGTATCTAATGAATTTGTGCATTTGTTAATTCTTCTGTTTTTTGTTTTATGCAAAACTCAACTGAAATTTTATAAATAAGTAACTTGGTATATGCTATTTCAGGGGGAAAATATGTTCCACGAGCCATCCTTTTGGATCTTGAACCTGGAACCATGGATTCTGTTCGTTCAGGACCTTTTGGACAGCTTTTCAGACCAGATAACTTCATCTTTGGTAAGAAATTCTTATTAAATTTTTTATAATAAAATTTTTAACTTTTACTTGGTCATAAAGCAAGCACACTCTGTTATTACAGTAAGTTAATGTTTTATATTAAGAATTTTTGCTTGAAAAAATCTTATGTACCAGGGTTGGCATGATTTATGTAAACAATGATTTTTTATTTAAGAAAATCATTGATTCGAAACCATTTTTTTTTTTTAGTTGAATCATTCAGTCATTTTTTTTAGGAATACATTTAAAGTGTGATTCTTTTTTTTAAAAGTGATTTCATTGGTAGTGGAAGTTTTATCTAAGGAAATAAATTGAGATTAAAAGTGAATAGAGTAACATTAGGCTGTTAAATTACGGATTTTCCATTATAATAATTTGCTGTTAGTAAACATTTCAAATTTACTCATTTAGTTTTGTTGATTTGAATGCTTTATATGCTTTTAAAACATACTAAAATGCATAGCTAGTGTTAACCAATATTGAAGAAAATCTTGTTTTGCACTGAATTTTATTACAATAATTTTTTTTCTTTAATGTTTTCTGATTTAAACTAACTCTTCATTAGATTTCCAACTGATAAATTGGTGATTTCATATTTATTCAATGATAAGTTTTTCATACTTAAATAATTTTGAAACAATCTCACTCAAATCAAAAATCTTTATTTCTTAAAAAAATAAAAATTTTCCAGTTGTAGAATCTACAAATCTCACTAAAATTTTATTTCAATAACTTAAAAATGAGTAATAAAAAAAAAGTTATAAAATGTTGTGATATTTGTATCAAAATTTCCTTTTTATACATTCAATTTTTATAAAAAAAACTTTTATATCATCAAGAATATATAGGGTAATGGGTAATTTCATGCAACAATGTTCTAAAAAAATGATATTGAAGAAATTACCATTTCTAAGATTGTGAATTTTAACATTAGATTTGAACAAAAAATTTTTTATCGCATTCCACATGTTTGTTTTTAAATTTTTGTATTGTGTTAATTAAAACTAATTTATGTAATTTTATTAAGGTCAAAGTGGAGCAGGTAACAATTGGGCAAAAGGTCATTATACTGAAGGCGCTGAATTAGTAGATACAGTTTTGGATGTTGTCCGAAAGGAATCTGAAAGCTGCGATTGCTTGCAAGGATTCCAGTTGGCTCATTCACTTGGTGGTGGAACTGGATCTGGCATGGGTACACTCCTTATATCCAAAATCAGAGAAGAATNGGTTGATTAACAACCTGTTTCGAATATTAGTTTTAATCAAATTAAGGCAGCTAAAGCCCCTTTCACAGTCAACAGTGTGCATTGGTATTGTTGCACAATACTCTATAACAGAAGTTATTAATGGGTACTGTTCAGACACATCATTGGTATATAAAAATAAAAGTAATTCATTAAATGACATGTTTTTACATCGTTGCATTAAGATGTGTTTAGGTAGTCTTGTGGTTAGTTTATTTTTCTTTTCTTCTCAGTGAAACTCATATATTCTAGCCATTTTTGTTGATTGCTATGCTTCATCTCGTTTGATCAAATTTTTTTCGTGAACGCTAGCGTCATGGTTCTCGCGAAAGATAATTAGATTTTTTTCTCCTTCTTGTTTGATCAAGTTTTTTTCATGGATTTAGCGTCATGGTTTTTCGCGGAAGCTTTTTTTTTTTTAATGGAATTTAGCAAAAATGCGAAAATGCTTTTTTGAATTTTAGCATTCTTGAGGGGTCTTTTCGCATTTTGCGAAAAAAGCTACCGTAGCGGAAACCCTGAAGTAGAAGTATTATGTTTGTAGTTCTAACATTCATACCATAATAAGTCTAATTAGATTTTCAAATGACAGAAAGTTACCATGTCTCTATAAAATAGGTTTAAGCTTTTTAATGTGTACTATTATGGCATCCAAGGAAACTGTTAAATATGTTTTTCGATGTATAAGCTACTAAACTTAATAGTTTGCTAATTTATTATAACAACTATAAAACAATTACTATTTTCCACTGTATAACCTGAATAGTAAAACTTTTAAATTTAGCATTTTTATTGTCTGTCCTCTTCTCTGGGATAAAGTTTAAATTGTTCTATGTTGTACATTTGTTTAAACATCTTAATATATTTTCTGCAGTGATCTTTCTGTATTCTGACAAATAATAGTTCCATATCATTTAAGTTGGAACAGTTATTCTAGATAGCAAATTCCTGCTTGCTTGACCTATCTAGTCATAATGCAAAAACCTTCGTTTTATTGAGCTTGATGTGCTACATCATGTAAATAAAAGTAATTTATTTTTATTCAACTGTAAATGGCCAATGAGATTTTAGTTATTAACAAAAGGATGTAAATACATCACAAGAATAGAAATTCTAAAAATTCATTGTTCCTTTAGGACCAATTATAAGATCTTACTAGTCTATGCATATAAAATGGTCAGTTTACTATAATTTTTTTTGTTTTTTTTAAATAGTTATAAAATTATAATTCGGAGAATTTGTTTACAAATAGAATGAAATATCCTATTTTGTAATGGAATACTAACCAACACAAAATCAAATTAACAAAGCATCAACGTTTGCAGCTGTCCTTTCAAAAAAATACTTTCTATGAAAAAGAAACTATTAAACTTTGTTTTAGTGTAGAATTTCAGGATCATATACTTATTTTAAGCAAATGCAGTAACAAATCTTGTAGGATGGACTTATATATATATATATATATTGCAAGTTCACAATTGATTTATCTCTTTCAAATGATTTTAAAAATAAGATTTCATTTAATACTTTTAAATGATGAATTGGGAACATCAACTGAAATTACTCTAGTACAAAAATATTGAGTGGCATTCATTGTGTTACCGTTTCAAGATTATTGGAACCCTATCTTAAAATACTTAGATTTAAAAATTAAAATTTCTTTAATCAATGTTCCTTCATACCAACATATAATTAAATGATATATTTTTATGTAACTATACTATCAAAATTTTTGATGCATTGATTTGATACTGTTGTGAGTTGCCCAATATTTAATAAATTCTACTGGTAACTGTTAAATTTTCTTTTCTAAATAGAATCTGAAATTATAAATAGTATATTTAATTGCTCTTTTGTGTTGAAATTTGCTTTTATTATAAGTGGAGCAAATGATACCTATTTTAAGTTAGTTTAAGTTCAGTTTTGCCTTTTATGTTTGCTTATTTAACTCATTACTGGTTTAGTATAAATCTCTTTTCTTAAAAATACAACTATATCTGAATTCATAATCACATCAACTTTTAAGGATAATTTATTTTTTAAAATTGATTTTGGCTATGCATTTGGCATTTGGATATGATTTTGGCTATTTTTTCTTTCTGGAGAAAAATAAGGCTCACATTTTTTCTTTATCTTTGTTCTGAAAGTACTTTCACTCTCCCAAACTGCAAATATCGAAAGATGCAAGATGCATGTAAATTTAAACTGAAATTTATAATTTATTAGATATTAAGTGATATGCTCAAGAGCAAGAAACAAAGTGAAATTTTGACTTTTTCATAGTTCTGTGTATGTTTTTTTTTTTTTTTTTAATTNTTTTTTTTTTTTTTTTTTTTTTTTTTTTTTTTTTTTTTTTTTTTTTTAAATTGGTGAGTTAAGTTCTATATTGTAATATTTTGGTAAGCCATTAAGATGTAAGTCATTTTGATTTATTTCAAAGTTTTAATTTTGAGTTAAGCGTTAGTGTATAATTAAATTTTTACTGCAGTGATATAGTTTCAGTATAATTTACTTAATAAAATTTAAAATATGATTATTTTTTAAAATTCAGCCAATTCTAAAGTAGAATTCCTTGAATGATTTTTTTAAAAAAATCCAGAGCCCTGTTTGAAACTAAATTACTTAAATATAATTTAACAAATTATTTAATAAAGTAAAAAAAAAAAAAAATTCATTTCAGTTTACTTCAGATTTGTATGAATAAAATAATGAAAGGTATTTAATTTTAAAATTAAGTCTTGTTCTCAATCCTTATTTGTTTGAGTAGTGCTTTTCCATAATTTTAAGAAAATAGATAAAAAAAAAAAAAAAAAGTTGCNAAAAAAAAAAAAAAAAAAAAAAAAAAAAAAAAAAAGTTAGTGTAGCATAAACCCTAGTTAGAATTAAAGCAATCATAATCAGAGATGCCAACTTCGGACAGCAAATATGTATTTTAAAGTGGTAGTTTATCAATTGTGATTCTTGGTTTAAAAAATTCAATTTAGTAGATTTTTATCCACCACTATTTCTAAATAATTCCTAGGCTTATATTAATCACCACTTTATAGTACTTATGTCATAAAAGCAAGCAAAAATTGTCAAATATTTGCAAAATTTACTTTAGTTATTTACAGTTTTTTTAAAAAAAATTATTCTGGCATGTCCGGAGCAGTTGGCATCTCTGCATAATAATGATAACTTGAAAAATAACTTTAAAAAAAATTTCAGAACAATCAACAGGTCAGGGAATTTTATTTTTAACTTAAAGCTAATAATAGATTCTAAAAAAAATTTCAGAACAATCAACAGGTCAGGGAATTTTATTTTTAACTTAAAGCTAATAATAGATTCTGTATTACCTTAAGCAGATTTTATATTAAGTAATTTAGTTTCAAATATTCAAATTTACTTTTTTCAATTCATCAGCAGTTACATAAGTTTGTAAACTTATGGATTTTAGAACTTAATGTGTAAATCAATTCTAATGTATAGTTTAAAATATTTTAAATTATATTGTTGAATTTTCTCAGATCTTAGTCTAAAATATTTTGCTGAACACTAACTAGAGATTTTATTAATTTGTCCTCACTATCTTCATAATTTTTCTTTAAAATTATTGGAAACTCAGACTTGTTTAAAAGTAAAAATTTTGTTTTGCAGGTGTCAGATACCGTTGTAGAACCATATAATGCTACTTTATCAGTTCACCAGCTTGTTGAAAATACAGATGAAACCTTCTGTATTGACAATGAAGCTTTGTATGACATCTGCTTTAGAACCTTGAAACTCACAACCCCCACTTACGGTGATCTCAATCATCTTGTATCTGTAACCATGTCCGGTGTCACAACTTGCCTCAGGTTCCCTGGCCAGCTAAATGCTGATCTGCGGAAACTTGCTGTCAACATGGTCCCATTCCCACGTCTTCATTTCTTCATGCCTGGTTTTGCTCCTCTTACATCAAGAGGCAGTCAACAATACAGAGCCCTGACTGTTCCAGAATTGACTCAACAGATGTTTGATGCCAAGAATATGATGGCTGCCTGCGATCCAAGACACGGACGTTACTTAACTGTTGCCACCATCTTCAGAGGACGAATGAGCATGAAGGAAGTTGATGAGCAGATGTTGAATGTACAGAACAAAAATAGCAGCTACTTCGTTGAATGGATTCCTAACAATGTTAAGACCGCAGTTTGTGACATTCCACCAAGAGGATTGAAAATGTCTGCTACCTTCATTGGAAACAGCACCGCCATCCAAGAAATTTTCAAGAGAATCTCAGAACAATTCACTGGTAATTATTAGCATAATTATTACTGTTATTTAAGTATAGTTTGTCTTTTCATTTGCTTAGAGCTGGTAAACTCGGTTTATAGTATATTAAGTATTAAGTATACAGATATTAAGTATTAGTAATTCAGGACTATCATGGTGTCCTTAGAAACCATACAAGTGTTCTTATCAGATTCTTTAAACAACTGTGATTAATAAAAAATGCTGTTGTAACTGTAAAATTTTCGTTTTTTGCAAATATCAGTTTTTCCACTTTTTGGCAGAATTCAGCTTTTTCAACAGGGTTGCCACTTCACAGGGAGAATAGGAAAGACCTGGAAAATAACAGGAAATTTAGAATTTTTCTTTACAAACTGGGAAAAAACTTGCAATTTTATTTCTTATTTTTGTCTTCAAATGCAGACCTCTCAAGGCATAATTTGTCATATTTAAAGATGATGCTTTATCTACATTATACAGGACTCTTATTGCCCAGTGAAATCCTGAAAAATTCCTATATAATACCTGGGAGATAACAAGAGACTTTTCAGTTACTATGATCAGTTAAATTCAATATAAATAATTCTAACATCTATTAAATTTGTTTTAAAAACTCTCATTGTAATAAAGCTTTTCCACATTTCCATCCTTATTCAATATTTTTGCTCACGAATTCTAATTTACCATTAAAAGTAAGAATCAGTTTTCCAATGAAAAATTGCATGGTGTAGATTAAATATAGTCTAGATTTACTTTGAAATTTTCCTAAAATACCTAGAAATTTTTTTTTTCTTCTGAAGTCAAGTGGGAACCCTGTTATATTTCCTTTATAGCATTTGTTTTATGTTGAACTGTACCTTATTTTTCTAAGCATTTCCAGAAATTAAAACTAGCATTGTTATCCTAATATAGTTCGCAAGAGCCCTGTGATTGTGTTTCCTCTTAATATATTGTATATAATATGTGCAGGGAAAACGGAGAATTTTTCTTTCCAGATATGAGTGACAACCCTGTTCAAATTCCCCAAAAGGATTATTTTTATGCTTTTCCTACCTGTGCAACAAAGATATAAAATTGCATGCTCACAGTTTTTAAGATCTCATGTCACTACTTGTGGTCACAAGATTAAAAATTTGAAATGATTGAAAGATTAATTGTTTTTAACTTATTAATATATTGTTTTGTTCCTGTATTAAGTTTTATTCTCATATTTTAAGACTATATAAATTAACTTGAACTTAAGAGCTTACAATCAGCCTATATAAATTAGCTGCAGAGATTAATAACTTACGTACTATGTCATTTTTGCCTCAGATATTTCTTGAAACTGGATTATCTTGATTATTCTTTATTGATATTGCGATCTTTTAGTTTCATAGTTTTATTAAATTTTAAATTTTATTTCTTTAGCTATGTTCCGTCGTAAGGCTTTCTTGCATTGGTATACTGGTGAGGGAATGGACGAGATGGAATTCACTGAAGCAGAGTCCAACATGAATGATTTGGTATCTGAATATCAACAATACCAAGAAGCTACTGCTGATGATGAGGGGGACTTTGAAGAGGAAGATGTTGCTAATGAAACTGCTTAATTTTCAAAAAGATGTCTTGTTCATACTGTACACTTTTTTTTCTTAAAGTTCATATCTAAATTTCTGCTTGACAACAAACCACCGATTTTTGTTGCATTTGTGTATAATTAATCCAGCTGTAATAAATTTTTTTTCAATCCTTAAACTTTTGTTAATTTATAGTTTTTTATATTCTATTTTTCACTACCTTATGTTGGAGTTAGACACCAGTTTTTAAAAGTTAAAGCTCTCTAATATTTTTCTCCAGAACTTAACTGTATATTATGGAAATCTGATGTATAAGAATAAAACCATATGGGTGTGAACATGACTAAAATTTATTTTCTAGTCTGTCTTCAATCTTTATGATACAGCAGTCTGCTCTGCTGAATTTACTTCACTGAATTGTGCAGTGTGCGCATTGCATGTCTGATTCTTTTGCATGTTGCCTAAAAATTTAAAAGATTTTGCAAGTATTTTAAAAATGCAATTAAGAGTAATTCGAAATAAGCTTAGTAATTTAAATCAATGTGATAAATTAAAACAACTCTTCAATTTTTGCACTCTTACTTAAAATTTAGTCTTCTGTTTGCTCTACAAACGATGCACTTTCTATTTCAATTCTTTCCCTGTCTATTTATAAATCGATGAAAATGTCTTTATGACGTACAAAACATTAACTTCAATCGAGTGTAATGATCAATTATTTGTAAATGGAATGATAGCCAGTGGCAGATAGGGCGGGCATTTGTTAATAAAATTATAAATTTCCTCCAACATCAAATAAAATATAAATCATCAATATAAAGAAATGTCTAATTGTATTTAGCTTTCCATCACAGTTTCTTTCAGTTACCTTTCGTGGTGCATGAATAGCCCAAAATTCTTAACTCATTTCGGGAAACTTGTGTTTTAATTATTTTTGTCTGTCCTTGTTACCTACCGAACGCTATTTGGATTCTAGTTCTGGAACCGTTGCACGATTCCAGCAATTTTAGTCCCCGAGATCAGGTAAAAATTAAAACAAGTTTTCATTTTTTTAAAAATTTGAATTCGTCTACTCAGGAGAGATGCTTAAATTATGATTTTTTTGCATTAGTTTAACATTAGCCATTGTTATAAATTAAACAAAATTTTAAGAATAAGTGTTCTTTAATGTTAAATTGTTTTTACATGCTCTTCTGTTATCAACGTGAATTGCATGTGTTTCGGTGCTAAATCACTGAATTGATGTTACTAAGTTATCTGAAATTACAATTTTATTTTGAAGTTTTTTTTTAAAAAAAACTTTTTATAAAATAAACTATAATTGAAATGAAGAAAAATAAGTTATGTATTAAAAAGCAAAATCAACAGAGAAAAAGTACTGAGTCACCGAATGTAACCTTAAACAAATCGCCATACATTATTGGAGATACGAGTGATTAATTTTGGTACCCGGCCCTGGAAAAATCTTTGATTTCCAAGATACCCAAGAAATACTTCGAAAATCGTGCTAAGTTCTTAAAAATTTCAAAATGTCCTTTAAAAAAATATTTAAGAAATTCCCCTTGTAAAAGAGGGAACACTGTTTAAAGAGTTGCTTGTTTCGTCGAAAATGCATATTTTGTATTCTGGCAGTTGGTGTGGTTTTAATAGGTACAAAATATATTAATATAGATACAACTGAATTGAGGTAAGGTTTTTCAAGGGATAAATACCAAAGAGTTGATATAGTCAACTCTATGGTAAATACCAACGAAAATTTCTCGAACACCATCGTGCCGAATGATACCGTTTACAGTTAATCTTTATTTTCTTGAAATTAACTTCAAAAAAAAAAAAATTTGCTTAATTTAATGACGTAAGCCATCGGCAAAGACAATAAATATAAAAAATTGAAACATTTTATCTTTATTGTGTCGGTATTAGTCTTTCAAGTTTAGTGCGTGATATCGTAGTTTTGATTAAAGCTGTGGAGTCGGTTGAATTGTTCGATTCAATCTCTTGCTTGGAATTTTCTCGAGAGCTTTACCCAGATTACGATAGATACTCAATTAAAATTTTCCAGATAAGTGTAAATTGTTTCGATATCTTTCTTTTTTGCAACTTAATTAATATTGATAATTAAGCTGATAATTTGATAGCTATTCTAATGCTATAAAATCTCTTTATCTCTTATTTCTATTAACTCTGTTGATAATACAGTAGAAAAGTAGATTTATATAAGCCATTATAAGGGAAATATTTGGACGTGGGAAGTGGCGGCGCATATTTTTTTAGTTGAATAATTTTAACTGTTTAATGCCAAGAAACAGTCATTGCGAAGCAAGCATCGAGGTTTGTTAGAGTTAGTGAACAGGGAGCTTAGCTCCCCAAGTTAGAAAATATTTTTACATCTTAGGATTCGTCAAGTATTTAAAAAATGCGCTTTATTTTTTCTAGTATTTTCTCACCTTTTGTAACACTCGATATGAGGTCAGGCGCGATTGTATCAGTGCCGGATTACCCATTAGGCCCGACTAGGCCATGGTCCCCCTTAAAATGGATATTTTGAAAATAAATTTAAAAAAATTAAGAAAAACAATGATTTTTTTTAAATTGATTTCAAATATACATTAAAATTTTTTCAAAACGTTATTATTTTTTAGTTCTAATTTAACAAAATCAAGAAAAATTTAATTTATTATTTATTTTAAATATGCTTTCTTAAATGAAAAGATATATAAATGCTTTTATATTTGAATAAATAAAAAATATACGAGAATAACAACTTAATCGAAGCGCCCCAAAAATTTTAATGGCCCTGGTTTGTATTACATCTAACCAAAGAGAGCCGCTTATAGTTATAATACTTTTAAGATCTTGCACCAAGAAATAATAATTGTAAAACGGTTAGTAAGACCAGACACCGATTTAAAAAAAAAACTTTATCTTAATAACGTAGGATTCCGTTATTCTAATAATAAAAACAATCCTCTTAATGTAGAAAACAAGCAAAATTTAAAACTAAATAATAACAACACAAGCAAACAGAGCCCCTACATTAGAGGGGCTCTATTTGCTTGACCGGTTATCTGCATATAAATTAGCAAAATAATTGATCATTATTAAATAAAAACTTCGTTACAACAATTTTTCCCTTGAAATATATGAACACAGTATTAGAGTTTCGAGTGTTTGATTTTTGAGTTCTAAGATATGTTGATATTTAAAAAAATCATTAAAGGTTTAAAAAACGAATACATAACTGAAAATGAGATTGGTGATACATAAAAACATCAATACATGGGTGCACGGTGATACACAGATACATGATAAATAACAATGAAAAACAATCTTGCATATTTTGATAAAAAATGTAGTTTCAAAGCAGTTTTTTTTAAATATTAAATTGTTTCATATGTCTTTAAATTCTGGATACAAAAATATTTATAGGAAAACAATACCTTTATGACTTATATCAATTTTATACTGATGACAACCAAATCAATGTGGGAAAACTGGATCCTATCATGTGATTTTCCGGTCAATAAAAATGCACCGACAACAATGGAAAACTGTGTTAGATCATTATGTTTTTGTGTTATATAGAGATATNCCAAACAATTGTTCATTTATATATTTTATCTCAAAATGTTTTGCAACAATTTCTTATAAAGGTTTTAAAAAAAGCAGATGAAAAGACAATGGTTTCAAACATCATGGATTACGAACATCGTGCACAGTTTTGTTTGCTTGTGTCACGATTTTTTGTTTTTAGTTGCAAGGAGGGGGAAAAAACAGCCCTCATGAGATGATAAGGGGACAGTGTGCTGATTATGTGTGACTCAGGAGACTTATTTACAAATAATACGAGCTATTTAAAAGTAATTATTTGAGAGGTTTTCAAAATTTGCCTGAGAAGATGTACGGGAGAAGAAAACTGGAAAAAATAGGCTAATTGTTTCTCTTTTATCATTACAACGTGTTTTGTATCACCTTGCCTCTAATCCTCAACGTTTTAACAAAAGAAAAAAAAATGCACGTTGCTATGCGACTTCTCTTCCTAATCATAAAGATTATTCTAAAATAACCTTAAATGAAAATTCTGAAGGTTTTGGTTTTGACTCCATTCTCAACATTGAGCTGCTCCCGCCCAAACGAATCGTGGACTACTAGCCAAGAAGGGAAATTTAGTTTTGATGTAACTTTATTACTTTATAATAAAATTATCTACTGTGTATTTTTTATCATACCTCGTACACAACGATAACTTTTCTGTAAGTGGAAAATTTCGTAAATAGCTCACAATTTAATTAGTTTTCAAATAAATAAATAAGAGAATTAAATAATAATCAAAGTTTAAAAAATTAATTATAATTTTTTTTAACCACGTTTAATGAAACTAAATTAAAGGAAAAATTTTGATCGCAGAAAGGCGATCGCCGGTTACCCATTGGCAAAATGAACAAAATAAAAATATCGTTCAAATTATGAAATTCTCTTTCATTTACAACTCAAGAAGTATTTATGGGATCTCTGGTCCCATATCTCAAAAATAAACTCACCAACTTAATGCATAACATAATTAAAAGTGAAAAAAAATTTTCAAAAAATTATCAAGGAGCAGCAGTCACCATAGCAGGATGCAAAGAAGACGCATGCGCACTGTTTACTGTTACTCTTGAACACAGTTGAAAAGTGTGATGACGTCCAAATGAGGTGCGCACGCCATCAAACCCAAAACAACACCCATTTTGCCAATGGGTAAAAAAACCCAGGCACAACACACTTTTGGAGACATCAATTGCAACACAATAATTGTGTTGCAGTAGTTGATAAGTTGTGTCAAATTATGGAGCCATTTTTAGATTTATCAGCCATAAATATGAATAGAACTGAATGGAAATGAAATAAAGTAAATAAAAAAATTAATTAATTAATGAAAATTATATAAATTACTAAAAATGAAAAGAAAAAAGACACAACAATACACTTTTTGGAAAAAACTATTGCAACGCAATTGTGTTACAATAGTTTTTAAGATATGTATAATTATAGAGCCATTTTAAACGACTTCCTTATTGAGAAAATGAAGAAAAAATTTTCTTTAAATATTAAAGTAGAAAAATAAGATAATTGTTTCCACACGCAAAAGATTTTTATAGAAAAAGGCTCGGTTGCTCTGTTAGAAAAATGCCACGA